TCCTTGGGTTTCTAAGGTGATACCACTACAGAAGTAGATTGCCCAATCTTCCTTCCGATGAATGGCTGGTGCAGCCTTTTGGTTAGCAGTCAAATGCCGTAGGCACCGTGCCGCAGGGCAGGTATAAAAGGTCTTGTTCCCACTTGTCAAGCACGTGCTCATCTGTAGGGTGTGGCTGGGGTTGAAATTGCTGGCTCATACAGTGACCCTAGTTTCTTGTGATTTTCACGAGCAACCAGAGTTGAAGACCATTGCTCCAGTCTAACCCTGCAGCTTCAGCAGAGCAGACACTGTTGTTATCCCCATTTTGCAGATACGGAAACTGAGATGCAGAGAGATTGACACACACAGTTGCTCCAGACCATGCAGCTGGAAAGTAACAGAGTCAGGATTGGAACCAAGTCCCTTGATGCCAGAGCCCCGGATCTCGACCATCTTGCTAACCAGAACCTTCTTGTCTCTCTGGGATTGTAGACCTGTGATCCTGGACCCAGCAGACCCAACGTGGGATGTCGGGAATGGGGCCACCTGGCAGTGGGACATGCTGGCCCAAGAAGCAGGGTCCTGCTATGACCGCCTGTGCTTTTTGCAGGCGCCTGGGAGCCCTGTGCAGCCCTGGGAGGGGCCGGTGAGTGAGGGCTCGCCAGCGTCCTTGGATTTTACAGCTAGTTTGCTAACCACTGAAGATTTCTTAAGCATCTTCAGTGCTGTAGTCCATGTGGGTCCAGATACACAGTTGGGAGAATAGAGGCAGGAACATGTAAAACCATGTAATTGACAGGCTGAGTCAGCTTAGAGGAAGGCAGGCCTTTGTTTGCTATACTGTCTACTGACCAAGCTGTGTCCACCCACAGGGGTGCCTTTTGTAACTTATTCCCCCAGAAGGGGAACTTTCTCCATGAACAAAGGCACCACAATTGCTAGCTGTGGCCCTTCCATTTCCCATCCCTGGGACTCAGTCACTCTGGCTGTGCAATGGGCTGGTGAGAGAAAGGATTAGTGGGAAATAGAAACCTTTGTCTCTGGGTAAAGTAGCTTCTTCCACAACTTCCAGGGCCTTCCACGTGCCGGGTGTTCAGGTTTGGGCCACCCCATCCAGCGAGACGCTGACCAGAGGACCCCCAAAGACAGTGGAAGTCTCAGTGCTGTGTGCCTCAGGACAAGGAGCAAGCAGTCCCCGAGCCCAGCTCCTAGCCCCTCAGGGATGACCCTGAGCCCAGCTCCTAGCCCCTCAGTGATGACCAGCAGCACCGTCTCTGTGCCGAGGACCCCCAAAGACAGTCTCAGTGCTGTGCACCTCAGGACAGGGAGCGGGCAGTCCCCGAGCCCAGCTCCTAGCCCCTCAGGGATGACCAGCAGCACCGCCCCTGTGCCGAGGACCCCCAAAGACAGTCTCAGTGCTGTGCGCCTCAGGACAGGGAGCGGGCAGTCCCCGAGCCCAGCTCCTAGCCCCTCAGGGATGACCAGCAGCACCGCCCCTGTGCCGGGGATGCTCTCAGATCTGTCCCAGATCCCCAGCAAGGAGCTAGACCTCTTCATCCAGGATCACCTGAAGCCGAGCCCCAAGTTCCAGGAGCAGGTGAGCAGGGCCATTGAGAGTGTCTTGCGGTGCCTCCGTGAGAACTGCGTGTACAAGGCCTCGCGAGTCATCAAGGTGAGTACAGCAGTGGGCAGACTGGGCAA